GAATTTTCTTTTTTTAAGTTTAATAAGTTTGAGGAATGCTGCGGCAGTAAAAAACAGACAGTAAAATACAGACATGAGCCGCACGGAAACACTAACGGGTTCTTCTGCTTCCTGAGACCAACCTGACAGACTGCATTCTGTTGTTCAGTCAAACCTGTTGACTGGCAGTGATTTCACTCCGCAGCTCATATGACTGCTCAAATTTAGGATGAGGGAGGAGGAGGAGGTGCTAACATGTCGTTTTCTTTTTTAACAGTTTCTAACCACATATATACAACACGACAGTCGGCTCAGGCAGGCAGGAGGAAATATTTTTACCCCCTGAGCCTGAACAAACAACAGGCAGGCAGCTACAGCAGCAGGTGTAGTCTGAGGAGGCCCTCTCTTTTAATTATACAATTAGCCGGCCTACATATCCATGCATCGCAAATCCTCACCTATGAATTATGGTCTTAGGAGGACTTTGCAGAGAATAAACACGTGTGTGAGGTTTGAAAGGCAAAGACATGAGAAAGAGAAAAACAGACGATTTTAATCTACTGTAAAAACAAAGTCATGCAAATGTGGAGCCATTATTTAAATATTCAAGGGTCTAAAATGTAAATAGTGGAACAATGAGTGAAACTTATAGGAGAGTACAAGAAAAACAAAGTGGAGAACTCATGACCTGTGATAAAACACGGAAACATTTAATCGTTTTGTACGATTTTCCCAATGAATGTGGAAAACTTGACGCCTGTCTATCATGTTTTTAACTAAAGATTCAGTAATTATAATATTTGATCTTGTATTCTAGGGCGAGTTTGTTGAAACATGTAATTCATGTTAGAGTATAAAGGCATTAGCTGTGATTTTAATTTAAAGTTTTTAAAGTAAACCTGCTCGTTCTCTCAGTCTGTGATTTATTATCGCTCATAAAGCTGCTGCCTTAACAACTAAGATAGTCATTATTTAATATAGAGGCATTAGTCGGATATTTAAGGGTCTATGTCATGTTGAACAAAAGTTATTTATAATTCAAAAAATCTGTTTCATGTTGATTTTAAAGAAAACACATAATACAGTTTATATTTTGTCACATTTCTTGTGGTTTAGAGATTTATTCTGCTCTGAAAGCACAACTTCATTTTCAACTCCTGTTTGATTTTACATCTAAACTAAAACTTCACTGTTGGTATTTGTTAGTAAAACCTGGTGGCATAATACTGATGATGTAACCCCAAATCATTTTTGGTATGCACAAGTGCACTTTGAGGTTAACCCTGTTAAGTCACTTTCCTTCACAACTTTACGGTGTTATTTGTACTGTACTTTAGCCAGAATTAAACACTTCTATTTCTTAAATCTGAGGAATTATCTTCTGTTATTTAGAAAATAAAGTCTCTTTCTTGTGTAAAACATGTTTTTTTCTAATCCTACATGTGAGGAAAATCTCCAGATTTAGCGAAAACTGTTTTAAATATGTGTTTCTTGGATTATAAATTCATTCCCATGGAGGCAGATTAAGTTTTAACACTGCTAGAAAAGCATTTGTTTAAATTTGTTAGTTTTAGTAAAGGAGAAAACTTTTTTGTTGGTAAACTATGAGCACAAATGAAGCCCTTCTCCTACCTTTTAGGATGCAGAGGTCCAACCAGACTGAAGTTGTGTATTCCTCCAAATGCTTTTAGTTTCTGTCTGTTCCTTTTCTTCTGCCTGTAGGTAAAAGTGCTGCTGCTGCTGCTGTCCTCCTGAAGAAGCAGGCTGGGAGAGTTGGATCCAGGTATGAACTGAGGCAGACACAAAACAAACATAGTGGCTTCAGAGGCTGTGTGCTGTCAAAAGAGCAGCTTTGTGTTTTTGTTCATACAGTGGGAGTCAATGAGCTGCCGGTGTAAAAATCGGATTGTACAGAGGCTGTCAGATATCCCTGCACACTGGGCAAAGTCACACACAATAGACTATCAATCTGCAAATGTTTTCTTCCCTCCCAACGCGGGGAGCTGCGCGGAAAAATGTGAAAAATGACAATGATCTGAAAACTTCAACCGAGACAAGCGGCGTGAAAAAAGTGCCGAGAAAAGAGCTCCACAGAGAAAGAGGGAACTTTAGAGGAGAACTTACCTTTTTTTCCTCTCAAAGTCACCTTTTCCCTCCTCACACAGAGCAGCGGCTCACTTTGAGGGACTTTGTTAAAATTTGGCGCCTTGTTGTTTTCCGTAATATTTCTCAGAGGTTTGACAGTATAAGTGGAATGTGAAGTATGACTTTGGTATGAAATCAACGCACTACACTGGAAAACGGAGGGGGAGGGAGGGAGAGAAAAGACTGGCGAGGAGGAGCCATCGGTGCGCGTCAATCAACAGGCACGAGGGGCGGGGACTTCGGCTCAGACCACGCCCACTAAGCTCACACTGAGCTGCAGCTTCCTGCCTTAAAACCAGACTACTTACCTTAAACCGCCAAAACACACACAAATCCTGCGAGATTTAGGGAGCAACAACAAACATCAGGTCTACTACTCATTTCCTGAAGTGAAATAATTTAACATTAATTAGTTTTTCTCTTATCTTACAGAGTAAAGCTGAGAGGTTTTAATCATTATATCACCATGTTGATGTTTTAGAAGTATAAGAACTCAAAATTAGGGATTTTAAGTGGGTTTGTGTCAAAAATAATAATTATAAATAAGTGATCTGATACTATATTTGATACCACTGTCTCACTGCTTCATTCTGATTGGTTGTCAAGGAGCAACATACCATAGCAACAGTCTGTTAATTCTTGATAGCAGACCATTGAGATAAATAAAGACCAGACTGTTTTCATACAGATCCACTTATTAGCTGTTTTTTCACCCCCAAACGTTTATTACTATCGTCAACATTTTGTGGATTGAATTTTAAAATTGATCAAATTTTATTATGTTGTGTATAATTGATTTAGATGGATGTATCAGTAATAAAAGGCCTCTATAAAGTAAATAAAAACAAGGAGCATGAAATTAAAGCACCCTCAAGTTGACTTAATTTTAGTTATAGGTTAACATAATTCATTACAGAATAAATCCACTCTGGTACTAAATCGATTCATTCATTTGAAGTTGTTTTTTAGCTTTCCGTGGTGTTTTCTAACCTCTAATAGACAGATATTTCTTTATAAGTTTCCCCTTTAAAATAAAATACCTGGTTAAACAACTTAAACCAACTGAAGTACAAAATGTACTACAAAAAATATATATATTAAACATCCTAGCCAATCTTACATGTCAACTTTACACTTTGAATTTTATTTTCTTTATTATATATTTAAAAAACAGATAAGTATCAGCCTAAAATGCTTCTTTTTTTGTGTCCTATGACCGGTTAATCTTTTGAACATATTCTCAGACCTCGACATCATTTCCATCTAGCAACAGCTCCTTCTGTTGGTCAGTCGTGTGGCTGCAATTTGAGCCACACAATCAGAGTCACTGTGTATACAGATGCTTTAAAATTGACTCACTGATCAGTTACACACGAATGGTATCAGCCTTAAAGAATGACAACAGCACTCTTGGCGGTTGTCTCAACAGGAACACACGTAACAGACGGAGGACAATAGAGGGGAGAGGAAGAAGAACTCACCTTGCAGCATCTGTCCAGAAGAGCTGCCAGCTTCAGGCTTCGTTTAATCTGCGAGTTTGGACAACTGCCTGAGCAGGTTCAGGCAGAATACACACCTCTACTCTGAGACTGTCAGGGCCCTCAGTTCAAACAGGTTTTTCCTCCGAGTGAAGCTCCTCTCGACATGTCAGGAAACTCACGCAGAACAGCGTGGGTGTCTCAAAACTGCAGCTGAGAAATCTTTGAGTTAATCTGTGGAGATAATACAGCCACAAAAATATGTTTATATTTACCTTCGATCATAGTTTGATAGGAATCGACTGTGAGGGCTCTGAAATGAGATTTAAGGAAGCAACTTTAACATTGTTGTGATTTTATAACTGGTATAAATGTATTTGAATCCACAAATCTTTATGATTTGATTTTGTTTAAAAATAAAGCAGAGACCTAGACAGAAGTTTAAATTATCACTAAAGCCCTTTGACTGCGATCAAACTATGACATGATTTGTTTATATCTCATATCTTAAGATCTTAAAATCTGTCATGGTGATTTTGTTTTACATTATACGAGTATGAAGCAGCGCCGGGTCTGACTGACAGGCATCTGTAGAGTGAATTCTGACCTGTGGACATCAAATACACAATATACTCACAATGAGCCTAAAAACAGAAGAAAAAAAACAGTTTTCAGAAAAATAATTTAATAATACAAAAAGAAACAAATAAACGGAACAAAACACAGAATAGAAAAACCTACACAAGCAGAAAGAAGCTCCAGTCTGAGGTGGGCAGAAACATTAAACTTAATCACTTCAGTATTTAAAAAGATCACATTATTATCATTATTATTGACTCTAAAAACTAAACACACACTTGTTTCACAAAATCGTACACTCCTAAAAATGCTCGGGAAAAATAAATTATGTTTATATGTTTGAGATCAGATTCAGGTAATTTTTCTTAACTTCCAGAATTTAAATGATGATATTTGATTAGATTTAAATTTCAAACATGTTCATTTTAATCACATTGGACCATTGTAATTGTGACTTTAAAGTCACTTTGGGGATCACTTGGTGCTAAATTAAAAACACAGCACTACAATAGAGCCAGTGCAAAGCCAGAATATAACAAAGTTGAACATTTAACACCGTCATCCTTAATCCGCTCGATTTAGTGTCAGATCAGCTGATAACACGAGACCAGTTTCGGTTCTGAAGGAATAACACACCCCTAAAGATCACGACGCAGCAGCAGGTGAGGTCATATTCAGGGAGCCATCGTTTGTTATCAGCGTCTAACCACAGGAAGCATACAAGGCGGCGTCCAAAGACATGAGCTGTTCTGATGTGGGTGTGGGTGTGTGACGGGCTGGTTTCTGTGGGAGCATCTCTCTCTCTCTCTCTCTCTGTTATTATTCACAGGCGATCTTGCCGTCAAAGCTGGAGAGGGCGATGGCGAAGGCCTGCACGGCGCACAGCGGGTAGTTGAAGTCCAGAGTGAAAATGTCGTCGGCTATTCGTCCGAACTGCATCACGATGTAGTCCACTGGAGAAAACAGAGGATTGTTGTGAAAATTAGAAACAATAATTTGACCAATATTATAACATTTGAACATTTTAATGATAGAATTTAAACTGTTTGTTAGTATCTTAAACTTATGAATGTACAGCGTTATTAGGGCTGGGCGATATGGCCTCAAATCAATATCACGATATATTGATCAGTTCACCTCGATAACGATAAATAGACGATAACTACTCCACAAGCTGCTCACCCCCTCCCACATTAACTTCGTCTACTTCAGCCGCTACAACTTTCTCTCCGTCCTCCATCTCCTCACCTGTCTTTCCCTCTTTGTTACAGACTGGATGGGGTGGAGTCACGTCTCTGACGTAGGACAGCGTCTTAAAGGGACATGAGACCATAGCCTACCTACACACATCCAAAACCAACTTTGATTTATTTATTATTTTGACACCGAATATATTGACATCGGCTAAATGACGTTGGTTATTGTCGTAAATTTCTGTAACGGTAAATCTTCGGTTTATCGCCCAGCCCTTTGAGTTATATGGAAATGTTTTCTGTTGCCCCTGAATAAGATGTACTTTTTAAATATTATTGTTAGTCTAACATCTATTTAACCTTATGTTTATTTTACATGTCGGTTATGTAAACTGTAAGTGTATAAGTTGATTTGTCATAACTTTACTTTTGACAGTTGCTTTCATTGTTTTATTATTTCATTGTTTGCTCATAATGTGCCTAAATGTCCCGATGTGTTCAATAAAAATCAGCTAATGTCACTGATGCTCAAAATATTCAAAGACAAAAACCAAAATCTGTTGAAATGTTGACCTGAAGAGGCTCCAGAGGGTAAATCACAGGACTGAAACATTAACACTTCAGCCTGAGGAGCGACTGCAGTAACTCTAATGATTCTCCGTTTTTTAAAGCTGTCTTCATTGTTCGCTTACAGCCAAAAATGGCAACCAGATGACAGCCCAAAGCCAGGGGCGGTCAACAAAGTTTTTTTTCTTAGTAAAACTGAATCTTGTGACTGCAAAGCTTTTTTTTCTTCTTTTTTAAACCATCTTTTCTACTTTTACATTAGTTTTTTTAGACTTGTTCACCTTTATTCTGGAGAGGATAGGACTGTCAATAGAGCAGGAATGACATGTCTGTAACAGGCTGCAGGCTAGAGATGAACCCGGCCCGCCTGCTTGAAGACAACAGCACTTGTACATGGGGTGCATGCTTAAACCGTGAGGCCAGCGGCACCCCTTTTAGGACATTTTTGTCTTTATTAAACAGCGCACTTGAAAGACAGGAAATGCGAGGAGCAGAGAGTGGAGGTTTACGCATGGCTGGGGGTCAGCACAGTGACAGCAGGATCTGGCAGACGCAGAGTTTTGGACGAGACGACTCACAACACCTGACAGGCAGACTAGCACGCTTGATTTTTTTCTATAATGTGTAGTTTCACATAGGGCCGGGCGATAAACTGAAAATTTACGACACAACTCGCTAAAGGCTGCCAAGTGGATTAAGATTGGATAAGATGGTATCTGAAAGTAAGAAATCAAAGTTGGTTTTGGATGTGTGTAGGTAGGCTATGGTCTCATGTCCCTTTAAGACGCTGTCCTACATCAGAGACGTGACTCCACCCCATCCAGTCTGTAACAAAGACAGAGAGAGTGAGCGATTGAGACTCCAGGTTGTCAGCACAGTTACAGCAGGATCTGGCAGACGCAGAGTTTTGGACGAGACGACTCACAACACCTGACAGGCAGACTAGCACGCTTGATTTTTTTCTATAATGTGTAGTTTCACATAGGGCCGGGCGATAAACTTAAAATTTAATATTAATCTATTGTGATATTGATTTGAGGCCATATACGCCCAGCCCTAGCGTCATGTCAGAGCGCACTGTACCCGAGAAAGTCATGAGCATAAACAAACAGAAGAAAGACTGATGGAGATGATGCTGAAAGATAACAACATCCCCGCCTTTCTAACGTGACATCCAAGAACTATAATGATGAAGATGCTTTTCAGAAACCAAGTGAGTGACTGACATTGTCGTCTGGAACAGCCCCTCTTAATTTTAACATCATCCCGTCGGTCATTGTGATTGGTCAGGAATGATTGTGGACCACGACATCATCCTAGAAACTTCGCCTGACAGTACTCACAGTCTTTGTTGTGGACTATCTGGAAGTTCTTAATCGAAGCCTGCGTGACCCTGCCGTTGAAGTTGAGCACGTGAGACGCCGTTTCTTCGTTCCACACGGGCGTCTTGTTGCGAAGCTCGATCAAATTTTCCGTCCGTCTGTTCTGGTATCTTAACAACAGGCCGTCACATTCCTGCAGAGCAAAAACAAAATGAAGAAAATGTGATGAGGTTTCACATTTTGGCGGTTTGTTGTTCTTATTTATCAACAGTCATGACTGAAGTCAAGATATCAGAGTCTGGAGATAGACGACTGATGACCCAGAACCTCCCTGCCAAAAGGTTTGCTCCAAATTACAACCAAATGAAAACCAATCCATTGATAAAACACACTTTTATTTTTAGTGATTCGGTTTAAACGATTTAATTAATTAAGTTTAGGAACTGAAGACTGCACAGAGGTACAAACAGGAGTTCTTCTGAATCTAAATTATCAGGAGACTGTCATGGATCCCCCGTTAAATAAGAAGAAGCTCTGTTTGGTCCCTGGTGACTTAGTCTGGGCATTTCTTTATTTTGATAAGTGCATGCCATTTACGTTAGTCATAACAATGACAGAAAGAAAAACCTTCAGCGTACATTTCTTGGTCGTAGCGGGACTCGATCGTTGTCCTTGTCCATTCCTGGAATAACCACCGTCATCCTTCTGGGACCTTTCATTCCTAAGACGTTTGTTTCCTGGTGCAATAAAAAAAAAATTCTAAATGAGGCCTTGTTTTTTTTATACTTTAAGAATGAAGTTTTCTTTCTAATCAACCAAACTCTGAGCAGTATTTCAGACGTCTCATGACTTACATAGATGATGCCCGCTAATTCTTGCCTGGCATTAGACAAGTCAGGAAGAGCTCTTTCTGGATTCAGCGCGTTATCAAAAACTGTGAACTTTGTCCCCATCAGATTAGACCTGAAAATATATTAAATGGTGAAGAACATACACTGAAGTAAGCTAAGTTTGGCGTAAGTGAGTTTCTATGTGCAGCGTACCTCAACTTTCCAACAAAGTTCTCCCCTCCTCTGGATAAATCAGTGGCATCAATGGAGATGAGGTAATTGGAAGTTGCACTTTTCTTTCGTTTCCTTCCAGCCAACAGAAACGTCTACGTAGAAGAAAGACAAAACAGAGAAAATGTCCTGTTAGAGCCAAAGACACAGAGCAATATCATGTACAGTGATGTACCAGATGTAGTCTGGTGTCCTCATGTCACTGCAGAGGAGTACTCATAAATGCTCCTTACATCATAATAACATATAATGACCTCGAGCGCACTGAATTTTGGATTTGAATATAATATATTATTTATATAAATTTAAAGTATTATTTTTTATTTTATTTATTTTATTTTTTAATTTAATTTTCTATTTCATTTTTTATTTCATTTTTATTTTGTTTCATTATTTTATTATATTTATTTATTCATAACGATTTTCATTTGTTTTATTATTTTATTTTATTTCAATTAATTTTTATTTTATATCATTATTATTTATTTATTTATAATTTTTATTTTATTTTATAATTTTTATTATTATTATTATTTTTATCATTATAGAATTATAGAATGATTTATATCATATTGAATTTCCCTTTGGGGATAAAATAAAGTTCTTCTTCTGTAGAAGAAGTAAAAGCTTGTAGCTGTCTTGAGGATGAGACATGACAAAGTGGATGATATCAAAGCATATTAAAGATTATTACCACCTACTTTTTTCTCGTTGTCGAGGTGGAGGTAGTACAGAGGGTAGAGACTCTTATCCACCCCCCTCTGGTCTCGGGTCACTCGGCACTTGATGGTGGTGCCCTGCACAGCTGGCTGCATCACAAACTTCTCCAAGTCGTCAAACACAATCTCAGGAGACGGAGATCTTTCCTGGAACAGAATCGTTTGATTTATCGACTCACCTCTCTGACACGACTTTAAATAACTAAAACATGTCTCTCAGGTTTTTGGCGGACTCTCAAATACCTTCTTCTTCTTTCCTTTGCCCTTCTTCTTTTTGGATTTTTCCTCTTTTTCTGAGTCGGAATCATCACTCTCTTCTGCCTTTGCTGAAATAAAAATTAGAGTTGTTAAACACTTGTTCGTGACCCAAAAAGAGGTTAAAGTTTCGACTTAACCTGCCTTTCTTTTTTGTCTTCTTGTCCTTGTCCTTGTCTTTGTCCTTGTCCTTGTCCTTGTCTCCTGAGGTCTGGAACATGGACGCTGAGCCAGCGGTGGATTTCTTCTTAGGTTTACTCGACTTTGTCTCCTCTTCACTGTCATCACTGTCGGATTTGGCTGCTGTTAAGGGATTTCCATTCAGTCAGAACTTTTTTTTTGATAAATTCAACATTAACAGGCTGTCAGATCTCTGTGCATAAAGGGAAGGTTAGTCGATTTAGAGAGTTTATAAAAATGTTATCACCTTTCTTCTTGCTTTTTGAGTCTTTCTCTCCGTTTATCTGGAACATCGAAGCTGGTTCTTTTTTCTTGTCCTTGTCTTTGGATTTGGACTTTTTCTCTTTGCCTTCAGAATCTTTCTCCTCTGAATGACAAAAAACAAGCAAAGTTAAGAAAAGTTTCATCTGCCCTTGACTGTGTTAGCAAACCTGAAAACTTACGCACACACAGCGATGAATAATTCAATTATTCTTAAAGTCAAAAACACACATTTCTTGGCTTTTTGTTTTGGACTTATCGAAGTCAATCATTGGGAAACAACTCTGGACAGACTTGTTGGAGTATTCCAGTTTGCAGCATGCAGAGATTTTGTTTACTCAGTTTGAGATCTGCTCCTGTTTTTGTTTCTGCTTTCTTGGCAGATTCGGAGCATTCGAGATTTTGAGAAGTAATCAGTTTTTCTCGATGAAGCAACCGTATCTGGCTGATGGTTTGATGCATATAATTTAGCACTGAGGTATTTCAAACCCAAGAAACACTGCTCGTAGGTATTTACTCTCCTTTCTGTCTCTGTTTACATAAGAGGGACACAAACCGCTGACACTGAGGGCGCATAACTTTAAAGATATTGAGACTAAGAACGTTGAATTCCTCGCTGAAACCTTGTGCCACATATCCTGTGGCGTTTTGAATTGTGTTTTTTTTCATATTGAAGAATCTGTGTACAAAACAACTGGGAGAGCTGCTTAGTGGTGACAATCAAGAACTTCAGGAATGCAGCCAAATATTTGCTGAGCGAAGTACTTTGAGAAATGATGATTTTTTTTTAAAACGTTCAATCAAAGTTAAAAATGGCCGAGACTGTCTGGAAAATATCAAGAAATAAATACAGTGTGATATTTCTTCATCTATTATAATCATGTTGGAGTGATAGTGAGACATAACATCATAATTAAAAAATTTAACCCACATTTTGTTGTAGATTTCATCTTAAACTGATTTTTTTTAGATTACTAGATAAACTGAACAAACAGCTGCCTTTACACTAAATTTGCGTTTTGTATTTTGAGGATCTTTTCAACTCTTGCTTCTGTTTTTCAGTCTTTTTTTTTTTCTGTCTTCCGGAATATTTTTTCCCATTTTTCAGACTAATTTACCTGTTTTCTTAATTTTTTTTGTTTATAATTGATTTTCCTCTTTTCATTCAAAAACAGACACTTTCATCCTCCTCTGCTCAATTTATTGGAAGCAAACGTGGCCCGCTTGTTAAGTTTAATCAAGTCCAAAAAACAGAAAGAGGACAAAAAAAGTATTAGTACAGAAATCAGAGGAAAAAAATTTGTCAGAAATTTGTTGGTGTGGCTAACATTAGCAGAGCTAGTACCACCATCTTTCAGTCTTTACATATTACTATCCACACTCTAACCAGACACAGCGTCCACATATCTTAACCTCCATTTTCTAGATTAAATGTTACCAAACAAACCTTTAAGATTCCATCTATCACTTTACATGTGATGGCAGCAGCCATCGCTGGGCTACAGCCCCAACTAGTGGCTCATGGCAGCATTACAGCTTTGACACAACATTTGACTTTCATTTCAGGCCTATAATAATAAAACTATCTTTCACTGGTTCAACTTATTAGTAATTCTGGCTCTGACTACATGGTGACAGTGTTTATTTTGCAGACTAAACAAGTGCATTCATACCTGCTGCATTAATTTTAGCTCGACTGTCAAAGCGAAAGAGAAGTCGACTTCTCTGAGGCTTCCTCCGTGGTTACCATAAACATTTGTCTCTTTACTGTACAGGAGGGGCACGGAGCCACAAACAAGTTCAAGCAGGCATCACTGACATGACTGAGGTGGCAGGAGGTTAAGTTGAGCTCTAAGGCAAAAGCTCTGGAGATGATCCAACAGCATAATTAGGAGGAATGAGCAACACTCTGAGGCTTATGGTACAGTTATCCAATACTGAGGTGTGAATGGATGAAACTCACTCTTATGAAATGTTAGGTTGAGTCAAAGGAGTCATAAGTCCCCTGGATCAAAAGAAGACCCTGAAGTCATCAGGAGGAGAAACATGAAGATGAAACTCGGGGCCCTAAAAAAGTATCACCACATTACAGGCCCAGAGCCGTGTTTTTACAGGCCCATAACGATGTTTGTGTTAAAGTGACAAAACTTGGCTATTTTGTTTTCTATAAAATGGAGATAAAGTTGCATGTAGACTGGTTAAATTGGTTAAACTGGAATGTAACCACTCAACAGGAGGTATGTGTCAATGAAACGGAGATGTGGGCATGAACCTGGAAGGAGGACCGAAGGCTGGTGGTGCTGGCTATGCTAACCTTAGCGGCTCTTGGTAAACCAAAGTTCTTTATTTACACACAGACTCTCAGGTTTTCTCATTCAGCCGTATCGTCTGAGATTTCTCTCACCCACAACTTTATCCTAAACCCACAAGTTTATCCTTCAGAATGTAATTTTCTGTTTGAATGAACCAAAGAAGTCCAGGGCTGAAATCTGTGGCCATCTTTATAATGTTTTTAAATTGTATTCTGTTGTATTAGTCCATTAAAATAAATTAGCTCTGGTCCACTGGTTCAATAGTTCAGGACTCGTCTAACATATTAAACTAAACAAAGACAGAGATGCTAAAGTCGAGGTTAGCATGAAAGGTTAGCAGGTTAGTATTGTTCTTCTGTTGTAGTTTCTTCACTTCCAAAGGCCTTGTGTCTAAAAAACTCTCTTTACAGATATCGTCTCTCAAAAAGTCCTACTCGTACTCCACAACCTCGCACTCTAGAAGCCTCTTTCACTGTTGCCAAAGTATGTTTTTCTTTTTAAAATGACAACTTTGTCCTTATACGGAGATTCGCCGACTGTTTATGTCACAGTGTGAGCAAATGTTATGCTGATCCTGCTGATTTCAGTCACTCAGAGCTGCCTTTAGATTCATTCGGGGATTACTCCAGCACACTGAGTATTGACATCCAACATTTTAACAATATTTATATGTAAAAGTACAACGACACCTCTTCTGGGGTTAAAAGGATTCTTATTAAACTACTCTAATATTTACCAAATTTTAAGCTAAATTAAAAACCATGACTGACCAGCATTTATCAAAGTTTTCAGGAAAGTTTGATGGTCTACAGAACTCTGTGTAATCCAGCTCCTGGAGTTTGCTTATCATTGCTCACTAATTGACTCACTAATGGAGAATATGTTCAACAGTTTGGAAAATTAACCCTCATGTTTATATCATTTATATTACTTAACATTTTCCAGACCTCCTGCAAAATTAGAGAGCCACAGAAGACAAACACGGGAGTCGAGCCAAACTCCTCTGTGTGAGTGAGAGTAGGAAATGTGCAGGTTCTGACTGTTGCAGCCGTTTTAATGACATTTTCCACAGTTGTGTATTTAAAGGTGCACTGTTTGGTTGATGATTGCTGTGTTTTGTTTCCTCTGTTACCTCCATGTCAGTGTTTCCACTTACTCACCATTACAGAATAAAATCATGTAATCCTCTTAAGGACATAAGTCTGTCCAGAACACGCCGTTAATGCCTTTACAACACCGTTTTCCTGCTTCTTGTCATACCTTTGGACTTGGATTTCTTCTCTTTGGCAGAACTCGCAGATGGAGAGCTATCCTTTGTCGTCTTTTTCTTTGTCTTCTTTTTGGGGGTGTCGTCGTCCTCGTCATCATCGTCCTCGTCATCTGAGCCTGAATCTGCAGAAATATTCAAACATTTAACAAAGTTCTGATAAAAACAGAGTTTTCTGATGGCAGAGTTTAAAAATGATACGAATGACGAACCTTTCTTCTTCTTTGGAGCACTTTTGGCTTTCTTCTTTGGCTCTTTTTCTTTCTCCTTTTCTGGTTCTTCTTTCTCTTTTTCTGGTTTCTTTTTCTTCACTTTCTTTCCATCTACGGTCAAGAGGAAATAATGTTGTTAGATCAGAGCAGAGATGTGTGTAATATCACAGTTTTTCATCAGCTTCCTTTGTTGGAAATGTTGGAAATATCAGAGGGATGTTGAAGTTTCTCACTTTGAACTGCAGGACTGGCCTCTTCGATCACATCTTCACTTTTTTTGGTCTTTGTTTTTTTGGGTTTGGCCTCTTTCAGCTTTGCTTCTGTTGTGCCGTTTGCCTCCTCTTTCTTCTTTTTTGGTTTCTTTTGGTTTTCTTCAAAGAAATAAAAACATGAATTATTAAAACTTGATGAGAAAGAGAAGACTGTGGGGAAACACGTGAAACATTTGCTAAAATACGAAAACTAGAAAAGCAGTTTTTAAAACCTTTATCAACGACTTACCAAGATGTGAGGAGATCGAAGCAATGGAGGGAAAAAATGTGGATTATTACTTCGTCTGTGGTTATAAAATTAATTTTCAGCTACAACAACAAAACAGAGCTTATAAATAAAATGTTCAGAGGATTTACATTTAATTTTATAAACTTTTGAATGGTTCATAACTGAACATAAGACTTCATTCTCTACAGCTGAATAATCCATGACTATTTTTAAGATCACAGTTTGGTAACGATTTTATGTAAGTGATCACGCCTCCTACAGAGAGACTTTGAATGGGTGGGTGCAACAAAATCCAATTATAGACTTCATAACATAGACTGGATATACTACGGACAAATTATATGAATCTGAAGCCAAATTGCTCTCTGGATTTTCTCCACTTCGTGCGCAGTAGCATTGTACACATGCAGCGTGAGAGTCGCTGTGATGACGCTCGGCTCAAACTGCGTATCCCCAGGTGAGCTACGCAGTCTTTGTACACTCATAGGCTGTATCAGGTGTCAATCATAGAAAACATGAACCCCCTAATAACTTTTAAAAACTGAGCTGTACAGAAAAAAGAGGACTTGAGCACAAACCAGTCTGACAGTAACTACATGTCAACATCACAACCAGGGGGAGAAACATTTATATTCTGTGTCATTATTTTTTTTTCAAGTTTTTTTCAAGTTTTTCCACAGCTCCATAGGGATTGCTGGAGGAGGCGGGGTCTATGACCTATACTGCAGCCCGTCACCAGAGGGTGCTGTTTCTCGCAGAGGCTTCACATGACGGCGTCCATTCTGTATACAGTCTATGGTTCATACACTCTTTATACATGATCTTATCCTGTGAAGTCAAAATATTAAAATAAAAATGACTTTTGACATGGACATGAAAAGAGCGCTCTGATGCACATCTGTTCACTCCTACTTGTCTGTTATTTTGCATTCAAACCATTTTTTGTGCTTATTCATCAAGACTAAAAAAATAATAATTCTCTTGAGTCTGTCCAGATCTCAAATCTCTGATAATGTGATCCTCCCACACAGTTTGCATCTATGTGCTCAAACATACTCTTGTCTTTTTGAGGATATTGCTTAGACATAACCTCCACTTCATGTGCCACTACATGCAGATTTGATGTAATTAATTTAACGTAATTAATGCAGAAATTACATTAAATGTTATTTCCACAATTAACTTAGCATGTAGAAACACAGAAATGTTCGACTTTGATTAACTCTGCCTGATGTGTACAATATTAAATGAAATCCCATGTGGAAAAAAAAGAGAGAAAAGAAATGCACTTTTGTCCACAGGGGGCGCCATAATCAATGGAAAGTAAAAATCACTCACAAGTGCTTTAACTACATTTGTATTTTTGTGGATGTAGTGTGCAGTAGTCTCAAACTTAAGTGCATTAAACATGCAGAGTGTACATCTCACTGTCATGTTTTCTGACCAAAATTTAATCTAGTTTTTTTTGGGTCAACTAGCATCACTTATTATAAATATTTACTGCAAATACTTAATAGGTGGAGGTTTCTTCGTTAAGCTGTCTGACTCCGACATAGTGGTTTAAAGTGACAGTACATCGTATAAATGCTGATGGTCTAGTCTGCTTTCAAAGGTCACAAAAGAGGCATCACTGCTAAATTTAGTCGGTTTCATAACCAGTTAGAAACTCCTCAAAGGAGCTGTGAATGTTTGTTTTATTAAAATGCACTAAAGGTTTAAAACAGCCCTCCACATTAACATGCAGAAAAAATGACAATTCAATGGACTTCCTCAAAAAATAAAGGATCTTTAACTTTAAATTCACAGCAGAGTTACTGTACTGGATCACATTATAGAGGTGTACTTCATCACAAGGCCAGTAAATTGAGTTTTATAGTAATAAGTAATCGCTGAACTGGTTATTTTGCTTTTCTAGCTCTTCACGAGTGTGAGAACTCTAAATCTGCTAAATCTGCACAAGTGAACAGGACCTGTGTGTTACTATCTCAGGTCACGAAGAAGGAGGTCAGAGTGATTGCGGCCAGCGGAGACAGGTAATCCTATTAGATGTAGATCCGGCCTCGATGGAGTCTATTTGTGTTCACATCTCAGTCTGATGGTTTGATTTTGCGGTAAAGAGTCGTGGTTAAAGTTGTTAAATGTGATTTGATATTTTCAGAGAGTATTAGTGTAAAGTACGGTCTTTATATTCTTTAAAAACAGAATAAAAATGTTTTTTTTTTTATGTACTTAAGACATTTGAGGGATCCTTGGAAAACTTGGGTTCCACTCAGCACGCTCGAACATCTCATCGTTCTGATCGAAGCATTTGTAAATAATTGATCAAAAATTCAGGATGTGTTTGTAAGTTTTGGACAGGCTGACACTTGTCGCATAATATTCCCCATGAATTTATAATTGTAGGCCATCTTCAGGATATTACATAATAGCTACAATGACTTAACCTATTTTCTGTAAGCATGCAAGATCCCTTAGCATCAGCTCAAATGGTTAAACAATGTTGACACACATCATTGTTTTTCATATTTAGAAAGAACTTTTGACTGTGAATGAACAGGCGTTAAAGAAAGACGACCCATGAGTAAATATATATCCTCTTGTATTTGGTTCGGATGTGACCTCAGCAGCACTATGAGAGGTCGAGGATTACCGACATCCTTCAATCCCTCATGCGTGCTTTTGAAGACGCATGGCGCAGCAGAGGAGATCTGTGCATGCTCCATCGGAGTAAAAAAACATAAATCAGATACAAAGAAAGACGGTCCATTTAGTTTCTAGATTTGGAAAACTGAAACACTAAAACACAAAACATCAGCCTCAGAAAATATGAAATAATTTGCACCTTAACTCGAAACTCTGTCGTGGAATTTTACGTAACTGTTCATGAACAAAAGTTTGCAATTTCTGCATCAATACCAAGAGCCTGTAAGACTAATTTTCAATATTTATGACCTGTCATCACACAGCAGCTGAATGAACATAAAAATAAATCTCATTATGAAATGTTCATCAAAAAACCCACAAAACCACAACCCCACCCTTTTACCTTCTCTGCAGACATGGTGTGGCCTCCGACTTCAGCTCTAGCCCTGACACTTTTTAGTGGTTAGGAAATAAAAGAGAAAACAGGCTTGGCAGTGGAGATAATGAAAGAGTGAGGGAGCCCTGCACTCAGTGCGTCGCCATCAGCAGAAAGTTGTTAATAGGATTTATGTGTAAAGCCATCTGCTCTGTAGGAACACGTCAACGGGAGAAACCAACAAAGGCTAAGGGGGAGGGAGACGACTTATTTATCACCTGAGTCCGCCATCCACAGACCGAAAACTTCTATCTGTGGTTGGGGTTCCCAGCCAAACCTTTACAGCCTTGTCTTTGGGTGGTTACACCTTTTCTATTGGTCACATCTGTCGTACTGTCAGCCAGCCAACACCGTCTATAGCTGAACCAAAACATCCGGTTTTTTTGGCGTTTTAACGGAGAATGAGTTTGAAGTAAATCTAGAGAAAAAAAACTTGCCTGTACTTGCTTCTGTGTGGTCGAAGAAGAATCCTCATCTTCTTCACTACTGAGACAAAACAAAAACAATAAAATATCAACATGTTTTCATCTTAATATATTACTGGTAATAAAAATAAAAAATACAATCATTAACGGGCAAAAATATGTTTTCTCTAAATCAATAATATACTTAAAGCTCCTGTGAGGAGTTTTTGGACTGAAATTCATAATGATGCCTTTGTATGATGTACAAACGAGACCATCAGCAGCATCAGTGACGACTGTTATATTGTGATTTAAACATCTCAAATCAGTGTGAAGCGAGTAGGTTCTCTGTCTCTACAACCTTCTCATAAAATATTCACAAAAAACAACACATTTGACTCTCAATAGTCAGCTACATAAGAGGCACCTTTAAGAAGGAAGAGGAGAAGATATGTTTTGTCCACAGGGGGCGCCAAAATCAAAGCAAACTGAAAGGTCTTCACCGGAGCTTTAATGGAGTGGATTAAAGTGCTTTGATTTTTAATTGTAGGAGTGTAAACCTGAGAGGAAAATCTTGTTTTCACCTTTGTTAGCCTATTAAATATTCTCTTAGCTATAATTAACTTTTCATTATGACAGAGTTGAGAGTTGCTATTTAACTTTTTAACTACAATATATAGAACAGGGTTCCTACACAGCTGTAATTTCCATACTTTTCCATATCCTGCTGGAGAATACAAACTAAGCATAATGAGGGTAAAATCAGCAAAGATTTGTAAACAGGGGGCACCAAAGTTAACAAGTACAAAAGAGGTTTGATGTAAAAAATATCCACAAATAGATTAATAAAGTCAGAAGAAAAGGAACCATTAAAAAAATGAGCACTTAAAAAAAAAAACATTTTTTCATTTAACTATTTGACAAAAACACAATCCTTATTTTAATGACTCTTTATATTTCTAACAACTTGTTCGGCCATTCATCCATCTGCTGAGTCCATCTACTGATAACATCCATCCATCTGTCTATCCATCTATCCATCCATCCATCCATCTATCCATCCGTCTATGTACTCTCGTAGTATTGGCACAGTCTCCGATGTTTTTGGCGGCCAACGGTTGGCTCTCATTACACGCTCTGCATGTCACTCTGCAAAGTGTCACTCAGCCATGAACAGGTCAGTCAGGGTGTGAGAACTCAACCTAAGCAGGTCTGCCTGACAACAACCATAACAGCTTTTCCTTGAAGCCTGATTGGTTTAGCTCCACAGAGTCACTAGCAGCAGAGAGTGTGTGTATGAAATCAGAAAAAAAATATTTTTGTGATGGAGAAGTGTTTAGATTACAGACTGGCAAAGTTTTGTGTTGCTGTGTGTTAACGTACCTGTTCTGAGGCCACGCCTCTTTCACAGCCCGATGGTGGAGGGACATCATTGATGTGATCGTCGGGTTTTGGTCTGAGAGAGGAAACAAGAATAAAAACAGGGACATTAAATTAAATGTAGCTTGATTGTAAAAGAAGAACTAAATTTGACATAAAAAGACCTCTAAACAAAAACCTCTCACCATGAGTTTTCTGGTTGTTCGAAGCGGCAGTGAGACTGTCTCCATCCAGCTTGTGAATGACCGGCCATCGACACCCTGAAGCCCCCAGAGGTCACATGACTTGACTTCTAAGAGGATTTTTTTCCCACAAAGTAACAGGTTACCCCTCCTCGGTCAACATCCACACGTCCGGGACGCCCGAGTCTTCAGCCCGGATTACTCTAATCAGCTCCTCACCATCTGTGAGCATTTCAGGGATTTTTATGGAGGATCGAAGAAAGGCCTGAGTGTGAGTTTACTCTGCAGAGGGAAAGTAACTGGATTAAAGGAAAACTGTAAAGACAAGACTGGAGGAGTATAAAAACTGATGACATCACTCCTGTTTTTGCCTCTGTCCACACTGACTCCCAGGATGTTTCAGAGCAGGTATCAGCAGTTTAAGACAAAGCGTAGCAGCGAAGTTGTTGCATAATGTTGCATAGTGTAGTGAAGCCCCGGTCAGCTGGGCTCAGTATAGAGGAAACAACATGCTCTCAACAGGTTGTTTTGCATTTCTGTGGTCTATTTCCTGCTAATTTGGATAAAGTTCAGTGACTGTTGAGCTTCTACTGTATGTGAAAAAACAACGTGACATTGAGTTTAGCTTTTGAGAAGAAACCCTCTGAATTTTATGACGTTAAGATGATATTTCTGGAACTGTTAAAAGGTGGAGATATGGAAGAGATAGCGTGAGAATGAGAGAATGTCGTTAACTTGTTGTGGAGTGTACGATGTAACCTATATTAAGAATATTATTATTGTTCATAGTAATTATTATTGCTATTATTTTAGATGATTATTTTTTTAAATTTATGTATATTTAATTTATTGCTCAGTAATTTGTTGACTAATTTGTTGGTTCAATTTATTTTTTTAATTATTTCTTTTATTCAGACTTTTTATTTATTTACCTCTTCAGTATGATCTACATTTTCATAATTATTTTCATTACTGCCATATGTTTAAATTGTTGGATGTTGTTGTATGAATACAAAAACCAATAAAGATATGTAAAAAAAACTCCCTGTTTCAGGGTCTCTTAAACTTGACTGGCTGCACGATTGATCCTTTAACACTTTTGGACCATGATTTCAAATAAGCTTATGGTTCCTATCATCAATACTATTTACCAAAGTTTATTACTTAACCAAAAACAAAAAAAAGTCAAATAAAAGAACTTTAAAATTAAAAAGGTTGACTTAAGTGCGGATCGTCTCCTGTTGGCTGACAAAGATGGAGGGAAAATCCAAGTATAGAGTTTGAACAAAGGAAAAAAAAAACTTTTCATTTTGGAAGTTACAGGTAAAAATCCAATCTTAATTTTCTCATAATAAAACAGTTTGAGGGTGAAATAAAAGAAAACTACCAAACCAGAAAGAGACAATCAAGTTTCTTCAAACAAAGTGGGAGTTCCTCAGTCGACCACCAGATGCTGCTGCACCCCAAGAGACTCAAAACAAACCTGGATGCAGCTGTAGGACGCCAGAGGGCACAAGCAGGTACTGTAATTTCATTTCAAGTACAATAAAAACAGTAAGACTTTAAAAAGTGGAAAAATGTTCTGATCCATGTGAAAGATGTTTTTTTATTTCCCATCAGTCTCAGAGCTCACCAAAAGACCGATGAAGGAAAGAGTTAACATGAGCACACAGACACGTGACGGGGAATAAAGAGAGAAAATTCATGTCGTTGGTCATTTTACAAGGCCAGGGCCTTTGTCTCCCTCTGTCCAGTCTGTGCTGACTGCTGAAAAGAGTCCCGACTAATGGCTTTGCTGGCATTTCTGCAAACCTTTGACAGTAACATGGCAGTTGGCAGGCGGCCTAAGGAAGGCCAGCGACCTCGAGGGAGCAGTGGAGAAGCCATCAAGATTTTAAAGAGACAGAAACGACGGCCTGTTTCTCACCATCGGCTGTGTTTCCAAACCATTTCCATGTCACTTATGTTTTATTGCTGCGTGCAGGATGGTAAACACGGCCGGGGCGATGAGAAGCAGCATGAGAGGCCGTAAAAGCGGCTCTTACTATACCAACAACTGTAACAACAAGCCTGACTGAAATGAAAACACATGAATCAAAGTTATGGTGAAACGGGGACCATTGGAAGCAGTTGTGCAAACATGAAGCCAAGAAGAGTTATGTCGGACACATAAAGGTAGAGCCTTCAGCGGAGAGAGAGAGAGAGAGAGAGAGAGAGAGAGAGAGAGAGAGGAGGGGGTATATGATGATGATGATGATGATGATGATGATGATGATATTTCAGTTCACCCGCAGGTTCAGTGCTGAAACGGCACGTCGTTGAGGACGTGAACCCGGTGGCACTGTAAAGACGAGTGAATCATCAACTTGGAGAGGTCCCGTATCTCAGGAAGGACAAACAATGAAGACGAAACAGGAAAGACCCGGGTAAATGAATCTATCCCCAACGGGGGGATTGTTCCAGCGAGGTGAAGGGCTAAAGGAGTAGACAATGGCAGGAGGTCTCATTCACTTATTATAGATGGAAAGATGGAGTTGAAGTTCAGAAATAGTCTGAATAAAATAATTAATCCCACATCGTAAACGACAAGGTCACATCCAGAAAAACAGGGATTTAAAAGTTTAAAATTCTCATCCACAGAAAAATCTTTTGGATCAAAAATCCTGGTCCTATCGCCAGTTTTCTTCCCTTCTTTTGAGACATATTTTGAGGAGACTGAGCCACGAGGGGTTCAGACGTAGAGACTTAAAGTAGTAAAAGTTTCTCTAACACGAGAAGCTGTTCTGTTTTCTGTGGGCTGTAAAATCAAGGTTAGCAAGTTTAACGCCTGTCTCAGTTACCAGAGAAAGTGTGAAGTCAGTCCTACAGCTGAACCATCTACAACACTTCTGCATGTGACTCGGCTTCACCGGTGCAATACTTCAGACGGAGTATCAGGGCCACATTAGAAATAAATGAAAATTAAGACTTTGAGATCATGTCATTACATTACGAGAATAAAGTCATGAATAATGAG